GATCCTAAAAAAAAAATAAAGAAAGAAAATAATAAAGACAAGTAACTTCATTTTAACTTACAAACCTCTAACTGTCATTCTTTCTAATGCTGCATGTATATTTATGTTATGTTGACCTTGATTGGTGGCACGAGGCTGAGTGTTCTCGTGTTTGGCTCTATAATGCCTTAGCATTGATGACGTATTATTATTATACGTCAGCAGCTGCGGGCAAAGCAAACACTGTACCTGTAAAACCAAGATAACAACCCGTTACTGCACCTCTTGCATGATACCATAACTATAACACTACTGCATAGTATAAGCTATAGGCTTTCTAATAAACACTTTGAATGTACATGACCTTATTAGGTGGCACCATATCGAAATATTCCCACACTTGGGGATGCTTCCTAGATGGTTGCTCCATGACAGAATAGTCCACCAAAACTCCGAATATCCAAAAACGAGAGCTGTTTGTAACGTATAATACGTGTAGAATGGGGATGTGAACCGGGGCTTGAGCCATTTTAAATACACTGACTCGGTCTGAATGAAGCAGTGAAGTGGTTCACACGTCATCGGGGACGTCACATGAAGCAAGCGCCGGCCCACTGCTTCACCAAATAACTACCCTGTCGAGTTTGAAGCATGCTTTGAAGCCTCGGTGTTAGAGGTGACATCACTAATTTAAGCCATGATTCTAGTATCTAATTTGTGGCCAGGTACGCATGTGGAGAATGAGACCCCAAATACCTTGATCTTCTTTACTTTACTTTCCTTTATCATACCACTGCAATGTAGTATTTTTTGGAGAGACAGCAAGCTCAATTTGTGGCAGTGGCAGGCAGAATTGGCAGTTCTGCCTGCCACTGCCACAAATTGAGCTCGGCCCTGCTGATTTTTTGTCATCATGTAAAGCACAGACTTGTCTTGTTGCTGAAATGTGCTATACAGATAAACTTGCCTTGCCTTAACAAGGCTATTTTTTGTCTTTTTAATTGTAACTTAGCACAGTTCACGGTGATAAAGTGAAAATAATTCTAATAATGAAAATTTTCTTCTAACAAAAAACTTTTAACAGAAAACTTTAGCTATGTCATACAAATAGTCACCAATATTTCCCCTGGAGAACAAAATCAGGTTTTTGCTGTGCAGTCTCACATTCTGGCACATGGTTCTGTAGACACTCATATTCATTCTGACTTGTCAAATTAGTCTCTCTGACCAGCTTCAATAGCATTGAAGCTATTGCCTTTAGGCTACACAAGAAGTTCCTATGCTAAAAACACAACATCAACCTCATGATGTTTTCAAAGTCACTGCAATTAAAATTGTCTTCTTAATGGGTCATGGGTCAGTCACAATTTTTTTTTTTCTTTTTGCTCCTCTTGGTTTGTTTGTTGCTGTTTTTATAGCAGGAATATGTGCGAATGAGTGCAGTTTTAGTGTAGATTTGACCATATTAAAATACACCATTGAGTATACACAGAAAATAAGAGAAACTAACCCATTTAAAGAAGGCATAAAACCTATGGAGGTGACTGTGGCTCAGTGGAAAGAGCAATCGTCTTGAACTATGAAAGTTGTGGGTTTGATTCCTGCTTCCTCCTGCCACATGTTGATATGTCCCTGTGCAAGGCATTTAACCTCAAGTTACTGTGTATGAATGTGTGTACGACTGGGTGAATGTAGCTCTATCTCTTAAAGAATGTTATGATGTTGTTCGTGTTGGAATAGTTAAATATGGCTCAGAATATGAGCATGAACCAGTTCAGTTTTAATCCCTGAGTTGATATTGCACAGCGCTGTGTAAAGTACCATTTAAATCATTTTACCAATAATTGTTTTCATTTTGATAAAAAAAGAAAGATCTGACAACTGGGTTGACGAGACATTAGTAAGGTATAAATTATTCACGTACAGTTTTAAGAGATTAAATGTCTTATTAGTCTTCACTGAATTTACCACAACACTTGACACATATAAATACAAAAAGGCAAAGTATAAAACACAGTTAGGCTACAAATAAGTATCTGCATACTTATTCAATTTCTGTTCTCCTTTCTGCTTATAAAACACTGTGTTGGTTGCAGTCGAATTTCTGATGGCATGAGCCTAGTTTGTTCTATTGTTGGAAACACCCACCCATTTAGAGAGGAACTGACTCTTATTATTCATGTGATAACTCCAGCACATCAAGTCGGTTCATTTGGGTCACGTATGGTCCAATCTAGTGCCTAATTTAGATATTTTCTGGAATTTCTTCCTACTTGTTAGATGTGTTGGTGATAAAGCCAGAGAGATCAGACTGAGATGTTTCAGACATGTAAAGAGGAAGAAAAAGAAGAAGCTTCCTGCTGCAGAATGTCTTGGTTTTGCTTTTGTTTGGGGGTTTTTTTTGCGTCATTTGACTAATGACAGGATAAAAATAGAGAGAGCGTGTTCTCTGCTGCCAGCGTCCTGGAAGTGGACGGCGCCTGTTTGGCCCCAAGCAGCGTTTGCCCATGTGGCTCTCAGGAACACTAATTGTGTGTGACATGGCTCTGTAACAGGAACAGGGTACGCTTTCATGAGGAAAGTACAACTTGCAAAATGGTGGCAGCACAGAGCTCAGGACAGTGTGCATTTAAACCAGCCAGAAATAGAAAAATATTTTAAATAGCTTCTTTTAGATATTGAAATTTAATTGGGGTTTCATTTATATATATATATATCTATATCTATATATCTATATAGATATAGATAGATATAGATATATATATATAGATATATATATATCTATGTATATGTATATAGATATATACAGGGGTTGGACAATGAAACTGAAACACCTGTCATTTTAGTGTGGGAGGTTTCATGGCTAAATTGGACCAGCCTGGTAGCCAGTCTTCATTGATTGCACATTGCACCAGTAAG